CCAGGTATGCTAAATCGAGTTTATTGAGTCTTATTAACTTCTTTGTTATGATTCTAGTGGCGGGTTGCGTGAATAATATGTTTTAAAACACCAGAAACTATTTCTCGCTCTGTCCCAGATTCTCTCTCTCTTAAGCATGGACATAGTTCATCTGTTGTCAAACACTAACTCTATTGATTGCTAGTTGCTTCTGTTATAGGTTATCGGTCAAATTCATTTATATCTTGATTACTGTTCTCTTTTCACACCTTGACTCTTTCTTCTACCATCAAGATCATCTCTTGAGTGATGGCTAAACACAATCACCAGACCAATGTCTTATCACTCTAAATGTGCACTTCTATGTAGTTATATGAATGTTATTAGATATAATATAGAGTTTGGCTAATAATCAATTAATGGATTCATGACTCAGGTTGTGCTAGATGGATATTCAGCATCGCAAAACTGGTAAGGTAGTTGAACCTCATCTTAGCCTCATTATGCTCTCTGTACATGAATAATGTAATCTTGATTTTCCATCCTTTATTCTATACGTTCTATTTTTGTCCTTGTTATAATTAAACGGTGAATTATAATAATGAATATAGAGGAAATTTACAATTGCAGTTGATCTGACTAAACAATGGATAAAATGCTTTGACTCATTAACTACGCAAGACCAAATTTTCAAAGAATACAAATTGCTCAATAACAGTGAAAGAAAATGAAATTTGTTGGCGCGTCCTTTCATTTCTTCCTTTACCTTCTCCAAAAACTTACATGTAATTATAACGAGGTAAGTAATCAAATTCTCAAAACAAAGCTTTGTTTTTACTTGGATCTTTTTGTTGAGGATTAATCAATGGATTTCTTCTAATGTGTTGAACTTTTCCATGAAATTCTGATAGTCCTGCTAATACCATAGTTAAAAAACAATGTTTTTTTTGAAATTTTATTGTTCTTTTCCTTGAATGGAAATCTTAGAATTATTGGACTATACATTCTCTCTTGATAGAATAGGCTTTGACAAATTTTCAGGTGATTGATGGAGCATATGACGGGACAAGACTTAGTTGCATCGAAAAACCCATTCTAACAGACAGCGGTCTTGATAAGAACAGCAGTGACAGTGTTCCTTTGGAAATAAAGCCATCTGGGCAGTTTGAACCCTTGTACAAAACAACCTTAAGTGTGTAGGTGCATCATCTATTATAGCTAGAATTTGCTAAATATCTTTTCTAGATTAACTATTCTCAGTCCATTATTTTTGCTTGAAAGGATGGGGAATTGCTAGTTCTTCCACTATCAGTTTATGGAGCCGTTGCTATGGCACATAGTGAAGTCTCTGAGGAGTAGTCAGCGCCATATCAGTTTTTCTTCTATCCATACGATAAAAGAAATGTGAGTGATTGTAGCTCTTTGTTAAAACCATTATTAGAACCCAACTCTTTTTACTTTATTTTATTTGTTGGTACTGTGGAATGAAATTGGTGAATAGAAGCCTAATTTTATTAATTGTATCATACAATATGTCTTATCATTGTCCTTCTTTTTCTCCATGCTCTTGGATTTCCATCTATCCAAGTTATGACTTACATTGTTATTTACCTCTTTTGTATGCTGGTCTAGGGTGGATTTCCTTCCATCCAAGTTATGACTTATACTGTCTTCTTCTGTTGGCTGGTTTGTTGTTTGTGGCGGGGTGGTGGTGGTGGGGGGTGGTTTGTGTGTGTGTGTGTGTGTGTGTGTGAAAAGGATACAATTCAGTTTTTGGGTAACATCTTTAACCTTTAATATGTTTATATAAAATGCCACAAGTTTTATTATTTCAATTTTTTGGTATGGAAGAATATTTATGCTTGTCTTGTGTCTTGTGTCCAATTTTGATACACAGATACTAGGAGTGTTCAAAAGAATCGATCTAGGGGTGTTCAAAAGAACCGATTAGAACCAAAACTGATAGTTACACGGGATTTGGTTCTGGTTCCTACCCGGAACCGGCTGTTAATGGATATGTTTTGGTTCCAAATTTTGGGAACTGTCACTGTGTGGTTTCGATTCTTACAGTTAGAAACCGGAACCGAGACCAATATGAAATAAAAACTAATATGAATATATTTATATTCATATTAGTTTTTATATTTGTGTGTGTGTGTGTGTGTGTGTGGGTTAGTAAAAACTTTTGTAGAAAAACTAATATGAATATATTTATATTTATATTTAATAACATTTAGGGGGCGTTTGGTTAGCGGTTGTGTGTGTGTGTGTGTGTGTGTGTGGGTTGGGTTAGTAAAAACTTTTGTAGAAAAACTAATATGAATATATTTATATTTATATTTAATAACATTTAAGGGGCGTTTGGTTGGCGATAATGTCAGATTATTGGGGTAATGTCATCTTATATTACTTAATTACCACGTTTGGTTGTCAAGTAATATAAGATTCCGATAATCTTCAAATACCAATAGTAGTTACTATTGATAATATTGGAGGTAATCTAATTACCTCTATTTTCTTAGGTATTCTGAGATTACCAGGGTTATCTTTTTTTGTTACAATTTTATCCCTTATTAATGAAAATTTTGGACAATAATGCTTTCATTTTAAAATAAATTTACATTAATATCCTATTTCAATTTTACCCTTGTTTAACTAAAATTTTGGACAATAATGTCCTTGTATTTAAAACAATTTATAGACCACTGTCACTCAGCCACCACCACCACTGCCACCTAGCCACCATCGTCGACAGCGGCCAACCACCACGGATCACCGCTGAAAACTCGTCAAAGTCCCTAAAAAAGAATGAGTTTCAGTGGGAGCCTCCGGGAGGCATCGATATTGTCGTTTCCGGTCATATTGATGGCCGAAAACGGCCATATCAAGCCAGATCTGGCCGAAAATGGCCAGAATGTCTGAAACGGCCATATCGAAGCCTCTTGGTCACAGTGAGTTGCTGATGGGGACTTTCAGAGACTTCTGGTGGTGGTCTGCGGTGGCGGCAGGAGGTGAGGGTGATTTCGTAATAAATTAAAGTTTTATATAAGCAAGGGTGTTTTAACTAAATCTGAAATATTGGGAGTTAAAAGAAATTATTCAAAAATTAATAATAAAAATAATATTATATTAATATTTATAAATGAGACAATTTAGTAATTTAAATAACATACCTACCAATTTATTCCCCATAACCAACCATATTAATATAACATACCCACCAACTAACCAAACACATTTTCTTAAAGATTAATCTTCCAAGGTAATCTATCTTTCCAATAATCCAATATTCCCAGTAATCTAACATTCCTGAACCAAACGTCCCCTTAAAGTAAGTTGGTTTGACTTTTGAGAATCTACATTTACAAAGTAATAGAGTTTGTAATTTTGAATTTATAATTTATAATTTTATTTTTGTCAACAGGGGGGTTATTGTAAGTTTTTAAGGGATTTTTTTACCATTTTAAAAACTTTTGGGGGCTAATTGTAATTTTATAGGGTACCCGAAACCAGAACCGTTGTTACAGGTCTCGGTTCTGAATACCCAGGAACCGGAATCGTTTGTTCCAATTCTGGGTACCTAGTAACCAGAACAATCGATTCCAATTCCGGTTCCGAATTTCAAGGAACTATCGATTCCGGTTTCTTAAAAAAATGTAAGGTACTCGAAACCGAACACCCCTAACAGATGCACGACAATGCAAAGAAAAATTCTACCAGAGATAATAACAGGGAATGTGATTCTGTCTGCAAAGCTAATTCAAGGTCAAATAAGAGTTGATATGTTCTCTTACAAAATTAAGTTTCATCTTCCATTCCATTTTTGTTTTTTTATTTGATTTTTGTTGTAATTTGTATTGATTTTCTTGGTGCAAGTTGTGTTGTTAGATTAAATGTTGTTTGTATTCATTTAACCATCTTTGGCTATTGTAGTCTTAACTCCAAACACTTTCAATGGTAAAACTTTCACATATTTGTTTCTTCATAGTACAGTGAACTAAGCAAAACACACATATCTATTTTTCATAGTAGTGAATTAAGGAAAAGACATCGATAAACAAATTTTACATTACAAAAGATAGTAATAAATATAGAAGAAAAAGACTTTGCGCAAGGAATAACTAGTTAGCTAGCCCTGCCTAGTGTAACCAATCCCACATTGGAAACGTATTGAAGAGGTCTTGGGTTTATAAATGGGAGGAATCCCTCCACCTAATAGATTAGCCTTTTGGGTGTGAAACTCCCAGTCCATGACAAGTGGTATCAAAGCAGACCCAATCCGTCTTTCGATGTCCCGCTAGGCACCCACGCAGGGGCGTCCACGTGTGATTGTGGGTCCACATGAGAGTGAGGTGGATGGGTAGGTAAGGAGCCCCACCTGTGACGAGGGCGTCACAGGATTGGGTGGGAGAGAATGTAACCAATCCCACATTGGAAGCGTATTGGGGAAGTCTTGGGCTTATAAATGGGGGAAGTTCTTTCACCTAATAGATTAGTCTTTTGGGTGTGAAACTCCCAACCCATGATACTGGGAAAATTGGAATAAGAAAAATAAAATAAGCATCAAATGATGAAGAAAAAAATAAAATAAATAAGAGATACAAAGTGAAAGTGAAAGAAAACTTACTATGAGTGTTCGTGACACTACTTAGAATGATGGCCACAATCTCTCTGTGAATTACAAATAGTTACGATAAACATTAATTTAGTAAACCAAAGTTGTTCAATAAAAATCTTGCAAAAATTCTTACACTTCTAAAGACTTTTCATAAATTGCTCTTAGTTGTTCTTTGTTCATTGATGGACTGTAAATGTTAAGCCCAAGTTATTATTAAGTGAGGCCATTTAAACTTAATTCATTTAGAATTTATTATCTAATTAAACAAAGAACCATTAATGTAAATTTTATAAATTCAATGAAGAAGAGATGAATAAGGAAAGTCGTAAAAATCAATTTAAATCATTGTTATAAAGAGATAAAATAAAAACTTAATTTTAACTAACCTTGTAATCAACTTATTTTAACTTGACTTCAGAAGGAAGGGTTCAAGGACATTCTTCGTGTTGGGATGGCTCCATTCCAGTGAATTCCAGTGCTCTATTGGACGAACTATGAGAATTTCAAGGGAGGCGGGAGGAGATGGCAGCCCATTGTCAGGTTGCGGAAACAAGGGAGAGATCGTCTTCAGCTTTGGACATTCGACTATACAAATGCTTCTAAGGGAATCACAATGGATTGCGTAACAACTCTTACAAAAGCTCCTCAATTCCGGTAGATTACTCAAAAATATAGATCTTAAATTTGGAAGAGAGAGTTTGATAGAATTCTTACTTGCTTCCTTATCTTCTTCTTCTTCATCACTTGATGTTGCTACTATTTCCACAAGTCCTGAGCAACGCCAAACTGTAATTTCTTTTAAGTTTTGTAGGTTTCGCAGCAACTTAGGTGGGAACAGTCTCTTCAATTTTGGACAAACCCATATCGAAACTCTTTTAAGACAAGAGAAGATTCCAGGTGTCATTGGTGTTGGTAATGTGGATTTAGCTCCGTCTATTTCTTCTCTAATAATTGCAATTAAATTATCCAATTCATAAAGGAATAGATGCTCAAGGGTATGAAGTTCGGTTGTGTAAGAGGACAAATAATAGAAGCACTCTATCTGTTTGCACAAATAAAGCCAGAAGATCCACCAGTCAGTTGCATCTTTTAAAGAAGAAATATCGCTTACCGTTCTCAAATCATCACAGCAATCAATGAATAGCTTCTGAATGTCAGTCGGTATCTTAATGGAGTCTCCAAAGTTTGTCAAGCCAACAATTCTTACCGCTTTTTCCCATCTTCCTACTAGAGAAGAACGCTCCAATCGTGCAGAATTAAAAGAATAGTAATTGAGGCATCTTTGTTGTTTTAGAGAAAAGTAGATGTGGTATTCTTGCAGATTTCTGAAATGAATACCTAAGCATTCCAACTTGCTCAATCTTTAAACTTCTTCTGCTTCTGCAACTGCATTATCTAACCTCAAGTATTGAAGACGGAAGAGTTTTGGTAGTATTCCAGCAGGCATCTCTTTTATACCGTATGCATAAAGATCAAGATGTCTGAGATGTACCAACATATCTAGTCCATCAGGAATGGCTGTAATACCCGTCCCACCAAGATCCAACTTCTTCAGAGCCCCAAGTTTTGCCAAAGAAGGCACATGTTCTAGAAGAGAACAACCGTTAAGCAACAATGCAGTGAGTTTTACCAAGCCAGAAATAGAATTTGGTAGATTTATGAGACTTTCACAACCAGAAAGATCAAGAACCTGTAGCTCAATCATGAGCTTAAAGACAGAGTCATCAATCTCTTCTAAAGATGAATTAACTTGCAAAAGGAAGGTCGATAGTGCTGTAAACTTAGGAAGTGTCATATCTAAGCGAAATTTTGAAATGTTGTTGAGCATTAAAGAAACCTTCTGAAGATCTTCAGTCCATTCATGCTCAGTTGGTAGCTCTCTCAATTGCATCCCAGCTTTTACCAGATATCGAGGACTCTGACTAGTAATGTACAATGCCATGTCTCTCACCAGATCATGCATCTTCACACTTTTCCCATGATCCGCGCTTTCTAATAAACAATTTTCTTCTAGTCTCTTCAAATTAGCATGGCCTTTGTTACACATAGCTTTTCTACTCTCCAATTCATCGATAAATCCTTCAATCCAATATTCTATCAACTCCTCCTTGTCAAATACAATATCTTCAGGATATAAAGCACAACATAAGAAGCAATCTTTGATTTTTGGATCTCTCAAACGATCGTAACTAAATTTCAAACGTTCAAGTACCTTATCTACCATATCCTCAACACTTCCTATACGTGCTTTCAATTCATTTAATGCATTCTCCCATATACGAGCATCACGCTCTCCTTTCATGCTGCTGGCTAGCGTAACAATTGCTAGAGTCAAACCACCACATTGCTCCACAATTAGTTTCAAAGTTGATTGTAAAGTGGGAATATCCAAAAGCTCAGATCCAACTTTGCTCAAGAATAAATCCAATGCCTCCATTTCTGAAACTTTGATTTCCTCACAACCCATGGATCGAACCACCTCCATGGAACGGGTTGTTAAAACTAATTTGCATCCATCCATTACAGCTGGTTCGGGGATTCCAACTTCCTCTAGAGAAATTTCCTTCCACACATCATCTAAAATTAGCACTTATCTCTTTTTCCCTTTCAACATCTCTTGTAACACTGCAGCCCGCATGGTGATATCATTATGTTTCAACAAATCTTCCCCCAATGCAATTGCAATGTCTTGTTGCAATTTAACAACAGCATACTCCTTGGATACGGTTGCCCAAATTACTTTATCAAACTTATTTCTTTCTTTTAAGAGCTGATTATGAATGTGTTTCATGATGGTTGTTTTACCAACCCCTCCCATTCCACAAACACCTATCTTGCATACCTTATCACCAATCAAGAGTTTCAAAATTTTTTCCCTTACACTAGCTTCACCTACCATTTCTGATGCTGGTAATTGCAATCCAATGTCATCAGGAGCATCAATTACCAAACCAGCAGGAAAAACACCTTGATCATAAACTCTTTTCACTTCTTGAATCTTTTCATCAACAAGTTTTCCTCGCCAACCACGCAAAAAATAGTTGCCTTTTCTGAATTTATCTTCAATTCTTTTTGTCTCCTCGAAGATCTTTTCTGCTTTTCTCAACCAACTTTCCACTTCTTTGTTTGTTACTTTATGATAACGAAGTTCCCCATTCAATCTTTGTTGTATAGTTTCCATGCGGATACTAAGATCCTGTCTCTCTCTTTCCAGAGAACTCAAGAATTCATTAAACTTTCTATGGTACTTCCAGTATCTACAACCGGGAGGAGCTATCCACTTTATAACTTCAATAATTGTCGCAGGATCCATTGACAATTCCCCTGCATTGTATTATATAAATGGTGATAAGGAATTATGTTTAGTAGCAGACCAAAAAAGTTTTAATTATCATATCATTTATAAGCTATAATTTTTATCTTCTTTATCTATCCAATCTAAATGAAGTCTTAAGACAATCAAAATGAACAAAGAAATTAAATATAAATAAATTAAAAAAAGAAATTGACCAGACAATGACTTAGGCAATTTTGTAGATGAATTTACAAATCTATAGGTAAAAAATAATAATAAAAGAAATAAGCTCCAACAATGACAAAATTTTAGAACATTACTTTCCAAAATCTTATTTTATAAAACAAAATCAAACAATGAATTCTGTTTTCAAGCTTCAAGTACTGGTGATTTGTCATGTTTACTAGACTAGTTAAACCTTTATCCTCTCATAATGCTGTTTGTCATGTTTAGGGCCAAAACCAATAATTTATTTTTGAGAGAATAATTCTTATACTCGAATTTTGAATGCAAGTTTAATAGTACGAAAATAGTTTGTTAATTAAATAAGAATGATACAAATAATGGTTGTCTAATGATATATGAGAGAGAACAAGATCAACAACCCCTTAAAATAATAATCCATATATTATTAGACAACCATTATTTGTATCATTCTTGTTTAATTAACTAGTTGGAGCTCCTTATGCTTTGTTTTTGTTCTTCTGAAATTTGTTTGTTTTCAATGTATTATCAACTACTTTTAAGTTGTAATTTTGGTCTGATTGAACATAATAATTTCAATGTATGTTTATATTACATTTTTATTATTATTATTATTATTTTAATGTAGACTAAATAACATATTGGCATTCAAGAATGCATAGAAATGATGACTTGAACTGTTTTTTTTTTTTTTTCCTCAATTTTCTGGTATTTTATTTTTAAGGTTTATGTTATATTTCCAAGTTTGTTTACACAAAAAATCATATAGTGACGTAGTGAGTAGTGTGGACTAATTCTTCCATATTTAAAACCTGAAAATATTTTTCAGATCAATTTTTTACTTTTAATAATTGTTGAGATGTTACTAAATACATCACTTTTATTTCATTTATCTCTATGAAACAATCTCAGTGATTAAATGGCATAAATCATAATTATGAATATTTAAAAAATGAAAGCTGAAATAAGTTAGAAAGGGGCATTACTTTAGTAGTGCTGCTATATGAAACTTTTGAAGATTGGTTGGGTGTATTTTATTAAATAAACATTTGTATGTAAGATATAAGTTAATTGTTGGTTGAGTGTTTGTATTTGTGTATTTGTTTTCTATATGCTTGCTAGTCTTAAATTTATGAGAAATTGAGTACCTTGTGAACTTTTGTGGTGAATTTAATTGAATTTGGAGTATTTGATTGTAGGGGTGTAACTGTAAAATATTAAAACTACAAAAATTGTGGGGGTGTACCTACCCGCATAGGGTAGGGTGTGGGTCCAATATTTTGGACCCGTTTAGATCGACCCCTTGGATCCATACCCGTTTGGGCCTGACACGTACCCAGTCCACCTGACCGTTTTGCTAGGTCTAGTACTAACTCAACAACGAACACCTAAAACTCCACCAATTATAAATAATAATATTCTTATCATTATCATTCAAAAAACCATTCGGAATAATAATAACAACATCTATAAGAACAAAGACAAACTTTATTCACTATGCAAACTCCCCAAAAAGGAAGAATTCACATAAGGGAAGACAATGTTCGCAAATGAAAGCATTTAAAGAAAAACCCAATCATACATTATGGGCTACATTACTTATAGATCAGCCCACTAGAGAATAAGACCCAAAAACCATATCAACAAAATTTTGAGCCTAATCAATAATAAGTCAGTCCACTTAAACATTAAACCCCTTTAATTCAGTTAGCCCATCAATTTAATTAAGCCCGCCAATTAATAAATAAAACCTAATAACCCAACAATCAACTGGGCCTCAATAAAACAGCTGGCCCTTTTAAACAATAAAACTCAACAGCCCAACTATTTCAATTAACCAAACACCATTAAGCCCATTTACATAAATCCAAACACCATTAAGTCCGATAATTTCAATTAAATCCAAACACCATTGGACCTAATTAGTTCCATTGAACCCAAACACCAATTTAATTAAATCTAAAGTCTTATATCCTCCAATATCCATCAATTCATGGACTCCATAAACATATTAAAATACATATACAATAGATAAAAGAACTTTCTTTATTATAACAATTCCACCAACAAAGGGAGTCTAACTTGAGAATTTATAAACAAGCCAAACATTTGTCTCTCACCCATTCTTTCCAGTTCCATAAAGACAACCACAGCAGACAACGCCCAAAAATTTCACCCAACAAGCAAGCTGTCCATTCTTTAGTTAACCAATTCTTATTTCCCACTC